CGGGAATGAAAGGCAAGGCACCTCACACTCACAGTCAGGGAATGTGTTGGACGTGCGTGAGGCAGAGGTGGGCTGCCCCCACAGGGGTTGTTGAGTGTGTGCGCCCGCCTGACCTTGGTCCCTTTTGCAGGGCACGCCGATATGTCCGCCGCAGTGGACCGCGTACTGGAAGTCCCGCAGCCGCTTGGAGCGGATCCTATTCTCCTTCTCGGCGGCGCTCGTTACGCTGCTCATCGTGGCTTTACTGCTGCTCTTCACTCAGAGACGCACAACCGGTGAGTATCCCACTACATGCGCCAAAGATGCGCTTGTGAGACTCATTCACTGGCTCCACGAGGAGGAAAAGAGAGAGGGAGAGAGAAAAATACCTTTCTGCTTTCAGTGGACACGATGCCCTGCCTGACACCGGTGTGCGTGCAGGCCTCGGCCAACATGCTGCGCGCTATGGACGAGAAAACAGACCCATGCGAGGACTTCTACACGTACGCCTGTGGGGGATGGGTGGCGGCCAACCCCATTCCAGACGGCAAGTCCATGTGGGGCACCTTCACTAAGTTGGAGCAGCAGAACCAACAGATCCTCAAAACAGCTCTTGGTAAGGACGTGCGGGGAAATTTGGGCACTGCAAACTTATAACGTCCATACAACGTATTTGGATTTGGCTCGACACTGTCCATTAAAACGAGCGGTAAACAGAAATGGCATTATTTTAGGATTCCAGTTCGTTTGCTCGAGATTTTTATGAGTCTAATCCCTCCCCAAGCAGCGCAATCCACATTCCTATATATTCTACTATTATCTCGAATTTCAGAAAAGCCCTACCGTGAGCTAAAAAGCGAGTCAGAGGCGAAAGCCAAGCGTTATTATATGTCTTGCATCGACCTCAACGAGACGATGGAGGCGCTGGGAGGCAAGCCTATGCTGGATTTGTTGGATAAAATAGGCGGTTGGAACGTAACGACTCCAAAGTGGTCCACAAACCAGGCAGCCAACTGGAGCCTCCAGACCACGCTGCACAAACTGCACAACGGACTTAACATGGGTGGCCTATTCTCCTGGTCCATTGGAGAGGACGACCGCAACTCCTCCAGAAACGTGATTCAGGTAAGGTGTGGCTAACACCTGATTGCGATATGCCTTTCACCTTCCCCCCCCTTGAACTCCAAAGTAACGCCTGTTCCGTTTCAGATCGACCAGGGGGGGCTGACGCTCCCGACACGCGACAACTATCTCAACAAGACCGAGAACGAAAAGGTGCTGCACGCCTACCTGGAGTACATGACGAAGATCGGCACCCTGCTGGGCGGCGAGGAGGCTGGGACGCGGGAGCAGATGCAGGCCGTCGTTGACTTTGAGACGCGCCTCGCCAACATCACGGAGCCTCCCGAGTTCCGCCGCGACGAGGAAAAGCTTTACAACCTGATGTCGCTGACGGAGCTAAACGAGCAGGCGCCCTTCGTAAGTCCAGCTTCTTTTAACAGTATTATCGATTTCAGAAAGGGCCACGCTGTAATGCGCAAAAACGTGTTGTTTACGTTGTTTCAGATCGATTGGGTGGCGTATTTTTCGGACGCCATGCGCCTGGTGAACCGGAAGGTGACCCCCAAGACCCCCGTTGTTGTTTACGCGCCCCAGTACCTCAAGAATCTGACGGATCTCCTCAACGAGCACACCAACACGACGGAGGGCAGAACGTGAGTGCCTGCGCACGATAAGGTACTCGTCTCATCTCGGGTGGCAGATCTTCTTACCCGTTTTCTAATCACTGCGCAGGGTGCTCAACAACTACCTGGTCTGGCAGACTGTTCGAAGTCTAACCGTTGCGCTGTCCAAGGCCTTCCGCGACGCGTACCGCGGCCTGAGGAAAGCGCTCATCGGCTCAGAGGGCGGGGAGGAGCCCTGGCGCTTCTGCGTCACGGACACCAACAACGTCGTAGGCTTCGCGACCGGCGCTATGTTTGTTCGGGAGGTGTACAAGAGCGACATCCGCCCCGGGGTGAGTGAGTGCGGCCGATCGGGTGAGCGGGACGCGGACACCGTTTTCAGACGAACGACGACTGCGGTAGCGTCCGC